TCTTGACGCTCAAGTAAGCCAATGGTTGACGGCTTTTGGGGGGCACAACGCGGTGGGACGTGGGGAGAGGATGTGGTTCAATCCAGTCTGGGGTGGCTCTCAGGGTCGGGAGGAGATTTTTCTGTTGCACCTCCCACTAAGAAGATCTCCGTCCATTGTGTTTTTTCTGCAGATTTCCTGAGACCGGAGGGATGGCAAGACCAGAGGGTGGAGTTGTGATGAGTCGTGGGCGCGTGTGCATGCGCGGTGGACTGTGAAGTCTTTTGGCTTTGCTGGCTGTTTGATCCGAACAATGATTGCAAGTATTCTGAACTTTGGTAGGTCCGATGTTGTGTGCTACTTCACTGCAATGCAAGTCACTCAGCCACACTTGGGTGGGAAGCCACAGTCCATGGCGTCCACGCTACTGTTAGAGTGTGGCTTGAGCAAAATGCTCAACCGTATCAAGGAAAGAGATTGCTTTTGAATTGGTGACTGGGGCGTATGTCGTTCTTTCAAGGCTTACTCCTAAGAGCGGGCCGGGCAGGCAAGCAGGGCAGATGCAGGACAGAGCAGGCTCAGGAGTCATGTGCAGGTACTGTAGGGTGACTCTTTCTCTTTCCCTTCCTTTGCTTTTCTCTCTCTCTCTCTCTCTTTCTTTCTCTTCCTCTTTATTTTTATCCTCGTTCTCTTCCTTTTTCCCTGATGGAAAGCAAGCAGAAGCACAAAATGCTAATAATGCAAGAGCACTCGGAAAGCAGATCTCGCACCACGGGCCTGTGAAAACATCGGTCCAGCAACATATCTATCTTGAAACGATATGTTTGAGATTGATCCTCTCGACAAATTTCGACAGAATGCCTGGCCAGAGCCTGCTGGCCGAGGAAGGGAGGAGAGAAGGAAGGGAAAGGGAGACCACTCTCAGAGAATGTCAGAGAAGGCTGATCTGCAAGCGTGCTTGTAGACATGAGTGGCTTATGGGACAGCAAGTGGCAAAGAATGTGGGCGCTGATGCAGTGGAATGTCTGAGAACCCCTCCCTGTGCAAGACGGGGGCCGGTGGGGCATCTTGAGCCGAGTGCATTTTGGGCTGCTCTGGTGAGAAGAGGGATCTATGTTGCACGCAGGCTTGGCCTATGCCCCACGTTGGTCCAGGCTGCGTCAAGCTTGACCTCCATGTTGCGCCCTTGTTGGGCCTATGTTGGCCTTTACTTGCGAAAGCGACCAAGGACAAGGACCCACAATGCTGAAGCACCGCAGACCCAAGTTTTTGGTTCAAGCGGGGTGGTTTTGCACTTCTGCCTGGAGTTTTATAGCTATAAAAGACCATAAAAGACCTAAGCCAGTACATGCCAGTACCTCATCTATAGGTCCCCAGCGACCTCACCAACCATGAACTGGACCGGCGCGGCAGAGACTGCACGCAAAGGGAATTGTGGTGCAAAATAGGACCTGTACGTTTTGGGGGGTCCTTGCAGGTTTAATACGAATCAATCACTTGGCTTAGGCCCTTGTAGACTAGACTGTTGACTTGACTCGGAAAAAGCCACACCATTTGGACGATAGTAAACACTCTCCATACGGGGAGATGAAATATGATCAACAGATATCAACAGTTTAGAAGGTACTTTAGGACATCACCTACCAACATGTCGGGATCCGGCTGGCTATCCTGTGCTTGTCGCGGTGCTATTGAGTCGGAACCGATTTTGCAAGGTCAACCTGGCCCATAAAAATCCAAGGCACAGATCGTTTTGACACATCATCATGGTTTGCTGATCCGGTGATGCCTACTTTCCACATCTTTCCATGATGGATGAATCCTGGTGCAGGAGGTTTTTTGCATTTGTCCGGGTCCTGGACAGAAAGCAAATCCAAGTCATACTCAATGACGGTATCCACTCTCAGTATGCTCAGACATGCGACGAAAGTGCTCACAGCCACAGCCACCAGAACAGTCAGAACCAAGGATTGTCTCGTTGCTAGTCTCCGCGGTGATTTGCTTCATCCTGCGCCGTGGCTTGCGCCACATCCACGAGGACGCGGCGGTGTTGAGCATTGATTCATGCGAAGCGATGCGAACCCGCTCGGAAAGGGTGCGGGCTGGCGGCCTGGTTGCAGGTGGAACATGGCGTTATCGGTAATTTTTTAGAAGTAATCCTTTGGTGTAGGTCGGTCAACATGGTTTTGACTTTACAGGACACTGTACCAATGTTGGCTGTTCAAGTCTAATCTATCGCACAATCTCCACGGATCAAGCTCGGCATGACAGTCTTGTTCGGCCTGGATAGGGCAGACTCTGTCATGGAGGGTGGCATTGAGCAAGCAAAACATTCACTTCCAGACTATGTCCCCATTCCGATGTAGAACGTGTTCACAGCAGTTCCAGATGTGGAATTCACACAGCAACCACCAGCAGGCATCAGCAGGCCGCAAAGGATCCAGGCAGCCAATCGCAGACTCATGACGCAAAGGAACCGATGCAGTTGGTAAATTGGTTTATATACGGTTGGCATCGGGAATGGATTCCGGTGCATGGCCGGCCGGGCAAACGCCATGGTAACAATCAAGGAACAGTCAAGAAGCAAGTTGCAAATCTATAGTTATATAATATACTGTAATACATAATATATATGTATGTATAGGTGTGTTATATATTTTTGTGTTTTTTAATGGTGTGGTTGTTTTCTTTTGAAGACCTTCAAGGTCAAGCATTAATATCACCGGTTGTTATTGGTGCTCACCTGCCTGGTGGATTTTACAAGGTCAGCGCAAGAGAGATCAAGGTCAACGAACTGAAGTAGATAGACTTTGAATACGTACACAAAAATAAACAATATATATATATATACATATTAATATGAGCAACCATGTTTTTTCAGGCTGTTCCGTTTGTCCAGGATGAACCAATCTGAAAAATAGGAACCCAGTTCCGATGATTGGCTTTGGGTTTCCCTATGTTCTATATTTATTGTCCAGGATGACTGCATTGTACAGTACTACATCGTTTGGCTGACTGCTTTCGAGCCAGTTCTAGTTTTTTTGGTGACCTATCGCACGAGGGGAACGACCGACTGGAAATCGTGTTTGATCAAAGGTGTTCATTTTAGAGAGTGATTTTGGCTTATAAGTTGAATTAGTTACTTCATGTGGCCACCCCGCCAGCCCGCCTGGTGTGCTGTTGCTTTTGGATGCTGGCAGAATGCAGTTTTGGTAACAACCTTTGGGGTTCCTCGCTGGTTTGCGAGATTTTGCGAGGGACAGGGCTTGGAAGTTCTCAACATTAGCTCATGTGGTGACCAGCCGCTGTTTCTCCATTTGCTCCACAGGTGGTCAAAGTTTCTGAGAAGGATTTGGAACACCTCCAGCGCTGGCTTTAGTTGGTGCTAGTTTTCACACGTTGAGTAGTCAAGCATTTTTGCAGGAGATGATACGCACACACCGCCCAAAACCATCAACAAAACGACCTTTGGTTTGCTGACTCGCACGGCCAGAATCTGAGTTTGGAGAGGTCTTTGGGGTCTCCTGATTCGAAGACATACCCATGTGTTCTCCCGAAGTTAGTTTCTGGGGCCGAGGGCTCACTACTGTACTTTTGTCGACTCTTGTGTTGTTGAAGAGCTTAGAGCTTGCTCAAAGTCCCACGCACACGAGAAAATCACTACCAGAACAGAATCACAAACTTTTTGCTGAACAACTCTTATATTGCGTTTGGCCCCTATGTTGGAGCACCAACTCTTGCAAAGCCATAGATTCTTGTATATCCTTCCTACGGAAAACCATTTTGTAGGTTTAGGACGGTCCCTGCCTTACGCTCCCAACGGTCCGCCAAAAACGCTCGACCCACCCGGGAGGAGAGCGAGGCGAGGGGACGGCAGCTGGGAATCGAACCATACAAGGGACGTTTTCTTCACGGCGCGATGTTTTACTTTTGGTTTGCTCTTTCAAATGCGTTGGCACTTTTGGTTTGCTACCAAGCGTTGGTTCGTTTGTGACCAAATGCGTTTTCATGCTGAAAACACCCTCCCTATTGAGGCGGGTTTTGCTGCTGAATATTCTGTGAAGAGGTGGGTGCATGACACCAGCATGAAGAAACCATCATGAGGATAGAGCTCAACGGACCAACTGGAATGCCACGTGGAATGCACTAGCAGTCACTAACATTGGAATGGTGTTTTTTCATTTTGTCGATGTTTTCTTCCTTGGCTTAGCTTGAAGCTGAAGGTCAATCGTTGTCGGCTGTCGGCGTGTCTGTCAATCGTTGTTTGACTCGAGTCCATTGCTCCGTTCACCCGACCGGTCGACGGGTTTGCCTTGGGCCGACTGGCAATTTTTTGGGGTGACTTTCCGGAGGGTGACACCCCAAAATATGGCATATGGGTGAAGAAAAAAGACGTTTGGCCGTGAGCTCATGAGCTCTTGAGCTCCGCGATCAACCCTTTTGGCTCTCAGGTCGTGAAGTGTAGGCAAGTATATAGCTGATGAGGCCGAGGCTGAAGAAACAATCAGATCGGGTCAGACATCTCACGCCTGTCGAGAAACAGAACTTCCTTCTTCCAATCCATTTCTTTGATACTGCAAGGACATACATCAGATTTAGAGTAGATGGCACACAACCCAAGACATCCAAAAACGTCTGCAGGCTTGTGCCATTTGCTTGGCAGTGCTGTGTGTGGGCTTGTGCCAACAGAAAGTTTAATGCGTTTGCAACATGTGCAGAAATTTGCAGAAACAGAAGACTTGGCCCATTTGGGCACTGACAATGCAAGCACACGGCCAAACTCCCCATCAGCCTGATTGATTGCAATCGAAATGGATCCTAGGATTGTTGCCGATTTTTGCTGGCACGAACATGAAACCCCAGGTAGCTGACAAGGGGCGCAGTCCAAAAACAAGACAGACCCAATTTGGAGAGGCACCAAGTTCAGCGCACTACTTGAAACTCAATTATCAAGGATAGATAGCGGACAATTGAGTTGATGGATCCGGTGTCGGAATTGAGTTGAAAGCCTCGGATCGATAGGATCCTCACTATGACTCTGTTTCGGTGAGAGATAACGGATCTCCGGAGGATCCAGGTCGTGGCCAACACGCCATGATTACCGATCCGATGTCGTGGCTGGTGTCCCTTGGAGTGCTCGGGGTGCTGGTGATGCGTTGTTGTTTTTCCGCTGGTTGATGAGGGTGGCCTCCAAGCATTCAAGAATGGCTTATCCAAAGAAGTGCAGGAAATGATGCATGAGCTCTTTGGCCTCCGGATCATTATCATTTGAGCAACACTCGTGTCGCCTGTGGTTTGGGAACGGAATTGCATGTCCGACATCATGAGGTGTTGTTGGAGGGATCTGGAGGGGAAGTGGTGGTGGGAGAACATATGCAAAAGCGAAGGGACGGAAACATGCAAGGTTTTGCTGGAGGTGGTGTGCCATATGATCTGGGACAGGGCATGAAGTGGCACGCTTGCAGTGAGAAATGACCCAAACTGTTGAAAGGAGTCGTTTGCTGGCCTCTCATGAGCCAGACCTACAATAGAGACCGGGTCTCTATGGTTATTTTCTTATGGTTTTCGGGGACACGGCTGCTTTTGCCACCCAGCGTTTCGGCGAGGCTCGTTGCTGGGCAACTCGGAGCTGGACAACTCGGTTCATTGGGAGTGTCGATGGGTGGGCTCCATGCAGGGTGAGGTTCTATTTTTCCTTGTGCTGCACACGTATTTTTCTGGAGATGCTTTGGATTTTTTCTGCTTAAGCAAATCGAAGTGGACAGTTCAAAGGGCATCGAGCATGTTCCTGTTGCTTTTCTATTGTCGCATTGAACGGTCGCGCACTCTAGAGTTTGATTCTACATCCACGGCCCGGGGCCCACACCGAAATCCTGCAGCACCATCGGCCCACACTCAATGTTGCCCGCCTGTTCGGAGTGATTTTGGTGATGCTTTGGTAGGGAACTTTCGCGACAAACAATGCTTCAAGGCCACATCAGAATCTTCAGAAGAAACGAGTGGGGCTTAATTGCTTGCATGTGCTGTGGACACACCACCCCTCACTTCCGTGGTGTGCACTGCCTTGTCCTCCTAGATCCTTCGTCCGTCACCCGTTCACGCCATCCGCACAGCTGCTTGTTTTCTGTGGTTAAAGCCTCGGTGAGGCTTTGCAGTTTGATGGCATTCGACGTCAACTTTCTGGCGCCCAGCCAAGTTGGGCGGATGCCGGTGCCAACGGCCGCGAGGCTCAGCAGCTTCTGGCTTTGCCGCTCGGCGAGACTGATCGAAGGTGTGGCACGGTTCGAAGGTGAAAATGGAAAGCATTGGATGGTTGACTTGATTTCACATGAGATCCGTATTTAATTATCAAGGAGAAACAACATATATATATATATATCATTGTTGCAATTTCCCTTACGAAATGGGGTTGAGCCATTTTGTAGCGGTACATTTGGTGATCCTTATGTCAATTCTTGTGTAAAAATAGTTTATCTACGAGCGCACAGATTTGTCTCTGGGAACAATCATTTTGTAAGAAGTACCATGTCTCATGCCTCCCAATTTTTGCCACTGGGGACCATCATTTTGTAAGAAATCAGCATTCGACAGTGGTGCAAACCAGTCATTTTGTAGTAACTAGATACCTAAATAAAAGATGCGCCTGGCATTTTGTAATTAAGCCCAAAACTGTTTTATAGTACAAAATGGGGTATCCTAGGTCCACCATGCAAAATTTCAAAGGCGATATGTCAGAATCGAAAGAGCACAAAGGGAACGTCGATGATACGTGTCGGCAAACGCAGTTGGCCCAAAGAGGGTTCGGGGCCAGGATCCTGCCCGCCATGGCGTTGGCTGGCAGCGTGGGCCAGCTGGTGTCGATGGGTTGGCGGCGGGAGACTCTTGCTTTCTTCCACGCCATGCCCATCGACGAGATCCAGGAAATGCTGCCCTTGGCGACGAAGGATTGGGTCGAAGAGGACTACAACGTCCTGCTGAGGGAGGCCAAGCGTCAGAGGCGGTGGATGGATGTTGAAGATAATTTGTTTTATCCGCATCAACGATTGCTGTACAAGGACGCCTCGGTGATCGACGCTAGGATCGCAGAGCTCCCCACCGCAGTGGCAGAGGCTGGCACCACCTTGGCTCTGGCACGTAAAGCTTTGCCCAGGGTGACTTGGAAGACGAGGCTTCAGAAAGCTTTGGCTGGGGCCGCGGGGGAGCAGCAGAGGGCGAAGGTCGAGGAGGCCGAGCGCGAGAGGTGGATCAAGGAGCTTTTGAAGCTCCTGGGGGATGCCGGGTTCCTTGGTAGCACAGCCAAGAGTCCGGAGGCCATGAGGCATTTGGAAGCACGCTGTGCGATGGGAAGGAGGGCATCCACCATTCGACAACATGTCAAGTACGGCCGCAAGCTGCAGATCTACATGGAGTCGGTCTATGGTGTGGCCTGGTTGAGGGGGTACATGGACTTCATAGGATACGTGTCCCTCCTCCTTGAAGAACCTTGCGGTCGCAGCGTGCCAAGTTCATTGTTTAAGGCAGTAGCGTTCTTGGAAATGGCCTCTGAAGTGCCTCCGGAAAAGCGCATCACCACGACCCAGGCCATTCACAACTACTTGATGGAGGTCTCCAAGGGCAGCTCATGGGCTCCGCATCAGCGGGTGAAGGCAGCTCGCATCCCGCTCGAAGTCGCTAGAGCATGGGAACAAGGGGTTCTGGATGTGAGCCTGCAGAAGTTCAAAAGGGTTTACTGCTGGTACAAGCTCATCAAACTATGGGGAGCCCTCCGCTCGCATGACGCGGAGGGCGTCCCGCCGGCTACTTTGATTTTCGATGAGGCCGTAGGACTCCAAGGAGATATCGTTCGTGGGAAAACTACCGGGGCCGGTCGCCGAGTCGAAGTGGTACAGTTCTTTGTCTCTAAGGACGCATGGCTCATCTCTCGCGACTGGCTCCGGGTGGGGCTCGAGCTCTTCATGGGCATGAACCGGGACATCGCCATGGGCAACAGGGACTTCCTCATGTGCAAGCCGACGACCTCCGGGGATTCCGGAAGTCCATGATGAGGTACCCGGATGCTATGTGCTTCTCAAGGGCCTTGTTGACGGAGCTGTACTCGACCCGGAAGAACGAAGAGGGCAGCTTGTACCGGATCATGATCCCGGAGTCCACTTCCTATTGGAGCGAGCATAGTGAACGGGTGACCATCATGAGCTGGGCTCTGATCGCGGAGATTCCGCGTGAGACTCGACGGAGGTGGGGCAGGTGGTCTCCGGGAGTTGATGAGGAGTATGCCGTGACCACGAAGAGGGTTGTGACGGCGGCCCAAGGCAATCTGGCATCGAAGATCCGGGCACAGTATGGGATCACGGACTTCGTGGACGACAAGAGCGTTCTCAATGGCTTCTCGCTGTGGCTGCAGACGGTGTACTTCAAGACGGTGTCGGAGTCGCACCAGGAGACGATGAAGATCGCACCACCTATGTGGGGAGGCCTCGACGCCGCTCCAGTTCAGGTGGTGAAGAAGCCGCTGCGGGAGCCCAAGCAGGAGGAGGACGACCTGGTGGTCCTGGATTCGCCAACCGAGGTCTTCTCGGATGATGAGGGCATGGACGATGTTCAGCCTGGCGACAGGTTCCCCCTCGGCACCTTCGATCATTTTGTCAGCGGCTGGCGGCTGGGCGAGCGAAGCGCCGTACACTCCACATCGTGGGCGGCTGCTACAGGCTTCCTGGTGTGCATTACCGGGAGTATGTGGTGGTCGGCCAGGAAAGGCCGGAGATTTCCTCGGAGAAGGGTGAGCGTTTGTGCAGCACGTGCTTCACTCCGAAGGAGAAGATCGCGGAGGCGCTGGCCAGTGGTGAGGGGGCAGAGCAGTCGACCTCGTCGGAGTCCTCCTCAAGCGAGGGCATTTCGGACGAAGACATCTGAAAAGATGGGGGTGTGAAAACTCCGCTGGGGAGATGGGTGGGCCTGGATTTCCGGTCGCTCGTGATCGTCAGTTCGTGGCTGTGGCTCCAGCGGGGGGTGGCTGCCTCTCATCGAGGCTCAAGTGGTCTCGGAGGGACCGTCCTCATTTGGACAACCCCTGGAGGGGGTTTCGGCGACGCGCCATGGCTGGTTTGACGCAGGCGGAAAAGATTGCAGAGCTTCAGCCCGACTTCCAAGGGCTGCTGGACGCCCGTGGCGTGGACTCGGCAATGCAGGAAGCAGTGTATGACAGTGGGATTAAGTCGATAGCCATGCTGTCGGCAATTGCTACGGACAGGACGTCCTTGATGGATGTGGCAAAGTCGGAAATGGGGGTGGACATTGTGGCCAGGCCGGCCGATGCCATAAGGTTTGCGTCATTGTATTTGACCTGGCAGTCCTCGGTGAAGAGAACTTCGGCACTGGATGAGATGGATGCCGAGGCGGTGACCCATAAGGCCCCCAAGACGGTTCCGGGGGTGGAGATGCAGCTCTACCGCTCCGAGTACGAGAAGAAGTTCTACAAGTTGAAGGACTCGGAATGCCCAGGAAAGCCCAGCTTCGAGGACCTTTGCGAGCAGATCGATGGGGGCGAGTTCAGAGCCATGGCCCTCAGACACTTCGGATCGAGGGCGGAGGAGGATGACGCGGAGACGGGCAGTCTTCAGGTGGGGAAGGCCGGACAAGTGAGGATTAAGAAATCCCGGGTGGAGACCAACAACCCGACCAACATGGAGGAGTTCCGCGCGAAGATCAACCTCGTGGTGAATCACCTGATCTTTGCGAGGTTCAGGTACCCCCACAAGCAGACGTTGGAGGGCATCTCACCTTTCACAGCCATCGAGTACCTCAACTACATCTGCAGCAAGAATGTGGCTCAGTTGGAATCGGTCACCATTGATGACATACCACTTCATCGCCCTTCGCTCAAGCTCATCCTGGCCTACGAGTACCAGATGAGGAAAGAGGTGGTGGACGAGGTGAACAAGGGCATCACTTGGGCCAAGGCTCTGAAGGAGGTGGTAAAGAATGCAGATGTCCGCGAGCGCTACTTCAGTACGCCCTTAGCGGTGTCTTCGGCTTCGCAGGCACTGAAAGATCCTTGGAGTGGGCGCCATCGAGCGCAAGAACGTCAGCATCCCTACAGTCAAGGGGCCATGGACAAGGGCAAGGGCAAGAGCAAGGGGAAGCATAAGAAAGGAAAAGGGAAGACCAAGGGGAAGGGGCAATCCCTTCATGGAGTGACACCGGACGGGCGGCAGTTGTGTTTTGCATGGAACAACCGCCTAGAAGGGTGCAAGGGGGATTGTGGACGTGTTCACGCATGTCGCATTTGTTCAGACACCAGCCACCCAACCTTTGAGCATCCCACCGATGCCAAGGATTCGTGACTAGGGTGCGAAAGCCCGGAGCGGCCAGTGCATGAACCTGTTCAGGAATTCAAGATTTGTACCTCTTCTCAGGACCTCAGCGTTCTACTGGGATCCCGGAGGTGCTACAACGGCTCGCCACTACTTCCAAGAAGCCGGTGTCGATCCAAGTGGACGCCTATGACATCCTTCGAGATCCTAGGCACGACCTCTTACATGACGACCTCCGAAAGGAGATTTTGAAGAAGCTGGAAAACGGCTACTATGACGCAGTTATAGCCTCGCCGCCTTGCGGCACCTGGTCTCGGGCTCCTTGGGCGAACGTTCAGGGGCCCCGTCCACTCAGGAGTTCTGTGCACCCCTACGGTTTTCCGTGGTTAGAAGGCTGGAAGCTCTTGAAGGTGACACAATCCAATTCGATGGTGGAGCTTTCCTTACAAGCATTCACTATTTGCATGAAGCAGGACATTTTGTTTCTGTTTGAGCACCCGGAGGACTTGGGCGACAGCTCTGATATGCGACCGGCATCAGTTTGGCAGTTGCTTCCAATCTGCAACTGGGTGGCGGCCGGCGAGGCCTTCTCTGGTGCTTTCTTTCAATGTTACTTTGGCGCCTCTTCACCTAAGCCTACGAGATTACTCCACAACATTGTTGAGTTGAACGACCATCTTTGGCCAGGGATGCCACAGCTTGATGCGGTCGGAGCCTATCAAGGGCCATTACCTCCCCACTGCGGGTGCACCGCGCCTCACCAAACGTTGATCCGGAAAACATCGGAAGGCGCTTTTGCCACCACGGCGGCAGCAGCCTATCCACCAGCCATGGATGCATGGCTGGCACGGTGCATTTTCTCCCCTCTTCTGAAGCGGGCAGAGAGGAGAGCTTCGGCAATGTCACCCTCAAAAGGGGCACCGGTGGCCTCTTTGACGGCTTCGCTTCCCAGGGTTTGACGGCTTCTCCAACGGCTTTTCAGGGGGCATCGCAGGCTTTCTCGACTGCTCCCCAAGGGGGTGGCACCTGCGGCTACGTCGAACCTCCTTTGAGGGTGGCACCTACCTCACGACCTCCTTCGAGGGTGGCATCTACTTCAGACCCTCCGGCTACTACCCCTTTGACCTCATCGGCAACAACTACTTCAGGGAGTTCGTCTTCGGCAACTACTGGTCCAGTCCCATCGTCTTCGGCAACCACTATTTCACCGCAATCGTCTTCGGCAAGGGCAAAAGGGCAGGGGGAGAATCCTGTCAAGCGAAGGAGGCAACTTCCAGTTCCTGTACAAGATCGTCCCTGGTCGCACCTCCAGGTGTGGTACAAGGGGAGGGCTCGCAGGATGGTTGACGGCTTAGGCCTCAATTCCCCAGGGACGAGGCCGTCTGGCCACAGGGGCATCCAGCTGGAGTTGTGGGGAGTGTAGCTGTCAAGGGCGTTTTGGGGGGAGGTTGATGGCTTCCTGCACTCGATGTCCAAGGCGCAGAGACTTCGGCTGTTTTCGGAACTGGCGTTGCACCTGCTCTCCCTTCGTTGAGGTCCTGGAGGGCATCCGTGGTCGCTTGGACAAGATGGTCGCTGGTGGAGGATTGGATCCGGGCAGGCGTCCTAGGGATTGGGACTCGGAGATTGCGTTTCGTCGGCTGCAAGCATGGGCCCTGACGTTGGGGGACGCGGACTCTCGGTTCTTGGGGGATATGGCGTCCACTGGAGTGGATTTGGGGTCAGAGGAGAGATACCCTGGGTGGAGGTGGTTTATGAGAAGAAGGAGAGAAAAGGGGATGATGCTATCCCCCCCACCTGGGACGAGGAGGAGAAGGAGGCCAGCTTGCGGGGCAACTACGCTTCGGCTAAGGATCATATGGAGAGAGTCAAGCACCATGTGGAGGCGGACGTTAAGAAGGGCTGGATGGTTTGCGTCCCGCTGTCAAAGGCCCAAGAAGAGTATGGAGGAGACCTTCAGGTTGCTTTGTTGGGTGCGGTGCCGAAGGACAAGGAGTGGAGCGATGTGAGGGTGGTTCACGACGGAACGCATGGACTTCAGGTCAACTCGCAAATCCAGCAGCCCAATAAGATGGCGTTCCCTCAGTTTGACGACGTGGACTGCGCCATGAAGGCCTTTAAAGCTGATGGCCCCTCATCCCGGGCGCTCCTGGCCTTCGATGTGAAGTCCGCTCACCGGTTGATCCCTATCCATCGGAGGGATTGGGGCCTGCAAGCGTGCCGCTTGGACAAGGAGGAGGAGGTGCTTCTCAACACACGAGGTACCTTTGGAGTGGCCAGTGCGGCCTTCTGGTGGGGCCGAGTTTGCCGGCCTCCTGTTTAGGGTGTTTCATCGGCTCCTGCCGCCTCAGGCGATCTTCTACCTGCTCCTCTTCGCCGATGACGGTTTGGTCCTGTCTGGAGGCGACGACTCATGCGCTGGATATTTGGCATGTTCCTCTATCTCGACTTGATGGAAGTCCCTTTGTCGTGGGTGAAGACGAGGGGAGGATGGCAGGTAGAGTGGATTGGGTACACCCTGGATCTCAAGGGCTGGAGGCTTGGGATCAGTGATAGAAAAATGGAGCGGTTGAAACAATGGTCTGAATGGGCCCTGACAGTTGGCAAGATGCTTGGGCGTGAGTTCAAGGCTGGTTTAGGCCGGATGGGGTTCCTGGCTGGAGCGGCAAAATACGCAAGGCCGTTCCTTGCCCCCCTGTACGCGGCCAGTGCCAGGGTTTCGGGGGGCGGCTACTTTGAGTTGCACTTTGCCACAAAGTTGGCCATCCGGTTCTTTGAGGAGATGGTCAGCTCAGAGCCCATGCGCCCCCTTTCCGTGGTACCCGAGGTCCTGGGCGAGGTCTTTAGAGTAGATGCCATGGCTGACCAGACTGGCATTGCAATTGGTGGCTGGGAGACGGCGGAGACTTCTGACACCAAGAAGGCTCGTTGGTTCCACGTCCGGCTGGACCGCAAGAATGCAGCCTACCTGTACTTGAAGGGTGAGCCTTTTCGGACGATTTCGACGTCGGAACTCTTGGCCGTGACGGTTGCTATAGTCATCTTTGGCCAGGACTCTAAGTGGCGCTCGGGAGCAGGAAGAGTTTCGGTGACAGGCCTCACCGATAACGTGAGCAATGCCTACTTGCTTGACCGGTTCCTCACCACGAAGTTTCCTGCGTCTCTGGTTCTCATGGAATTGGCCTGTCAACTGGAGAAGTACAAGCTGGATCTGTCTTTGTCCTGGATTCCACGGGAACAAAATGAACCAGCAGACGACTTAAGTAAGGGTCGCTTCGAGCTCTTTGAAGAGGCCAACCGCGTGGAGGTGGAGATGGAGAACTTGCCCTTCATCGTCCTTTACAAGCTCATGGACACCGCCATCGAACTGGACGAAGAAATCAAGGTCAAGAAAGTTTCGAAGGGCTCGACACCTGACTTCGGCAAAACACCTCCTACAGAACGCTTGAGATTGACGCAGCCCTGGTGATCTCCAAAGCGGGAATGAGGACCGCGAATCTGGCAAGCGCTCCTGGAAAAGAAGTGAG